ATTCTACTTACTAATATCTCCTCTGATTAATAACACAAAAGTAACACAAGTAAGATAATACAAAAGCTAACAAAGATGAACAACCAATTAACTTGCACACCAAATGTCAACAAGAGTGCAATTTCAAGATAATACTAAGCTGATTAAAGATCTACCATTTATTAATAGACTACCAGCCTCTCAAAAGCCCAAATATAGATGTTAACATCATAATTTTGAGTTGCGTCTTTACTTTAATCTGGCAAAAAGTAACACATGAACAAGATTCTGATCAAGTCTTGAACTTTCAGCACTGAAAAAACATCTTGCAAAGCTTTTCACCTGAACTAGTCTAACCATACAACCATGCTTATCGCAACTTGTTTGCAAAATCCTTTTCAAGGATTTCCAGGTTTGGTTCGAGTCCCATTTCTGCCTCCAAAGGCTGTGAGTTTGGGGGAGGAAATGTTAGGAGAGACTGATGAACCAGTTCGAAGCAGCCTGGGTCCTGATCCAACAATGTTTTCTACACAAGTTCTTTATACTCAGAGCAACATTTTAATCACTGTAGCCAGTTTGTTGTCACATTAGTTTCTTTCTAAAGTGCGTAATCAGTCTATTCAGTAAATGAAACAAAAATATAATATTAAAATTTTAAATTACCAAAAAAAAATAACAGTTTCAAAAAGAAAAAAGACAAGTTTCTATAAAAAATTAAAACTGTTGTGACCACAACATGGTCGTGCTAAAACATTTAAAACATATTTTGTATTGATGAAAATTGAAGACCACCACAATATACAGATTATCTTGCAACAATGTAATCTGGCATACTTCTAAATTGCAGTAAAATTTCATCCGAGGTTATCAGTCATATTTTCTTTCTTTAGCATCCTCCAAAATCAATGTGGTACGGTAACTCCCCATGCAGATATTCACAAACATGCTGTTTGTACATTTATCTGCCCTTGTGGATTGCAGAAAAAGTTACTGCTCATTTATGGCGGTTAGAAACATGCAGGGTAAGCGATGTCTGAAGGTCCTCAGTGCTGCCGTTTTGACATTGACACTCTTTAGGCGAATCTATCGTTGGACTCTGCTCATGTTTATATATAAGCATTGTTACCCTAACATGGATGTCTTCAACAAATCTAAGTCGCTTTCTCAGCCATGAATGGGGAGAAAAATACAGTTTTAAATGTCCAAAGTCTTGTCAATCACATCTTCTTATATAAGTAAACACAACCTCCTCTATAGCTAATCCCCATGCTGGTATCTGAAGGGACCAGCTGCAAAGCAGCTCCACAGCTCAGCGACACTGTTTCCATTATAGCCTCTTTGCAAAATAAGTCTATTAACAGCACAACTGCTCTTCTAATTTCTGAATAACTCTTTACATGGCGTCCTCATTCACATATACTATCTGAAATGACTTAAAATGAGTTTTAAAGGCCAAGCAGCTAACTAATAAAAGTAAAACATTTAAATAAAATAGAAATACTTTATAAGCTTTGATAAAAATACATGTGATAACCTGGAAAGCAACAAAATTAATCAACTTAATTTTTTTTGTTTTATTCAGTGTCATTCCAGATTTACGCTGCTGTTAAAAAAAGTCTTGGTTGTCTTACAGATTTTTGCTACTTTTACATAAATAACCACATACAAAAGGGTTTAAATAACAGCTTCATTGTAGGGAAAAGTGTAAGATAGTGGTTGCCAACTGTGGTGGCAGGGATCAAGCACAATATAGGACAACTTTTTGTAGAATTACTTATATTCAAGCACATCAAAAGGAAAAGTAACTAGTAATAGGAGAGGCAAATACTTTTCATAGGTTTATTGAAACAAGTTGATAAAACAGCCTTACATGATATTTGTTATGACTGTAAATGTGCTGCAGTACAGTGATGAATTCATCCACTATGGGTAAATTAGCATAGCCTCTGAGCTCCTCTGACACGGTTATGACAGGTCCGATTAGGAAGATCCTGCCTCCAGCATCTTCTCTGGTCACAACATCTCTGTGTCTCAGTCTTATGCAGACTGTACTCTGACAGCTCTGGGAATATCGAGCTTTTTCATCCATAATGCAGTCCTATTGCCATAGACATTAATTAAGACATTTCACTAATTGTTGACTCAAACTACTGTCCTTAGTTTTTCTCATGATACAGCATTTTGTTATTTAATAATTTGTATAAACTTAATCAGTATTTATGAAACAGTTGCTGAAACACTTTGTGTACCGCAATATAATAAGGAATATAATATATTGGTTTTGAATATGCAGGAGCCTGAGGTTTACTGTTTGCAGCAAGAAGGATCGTTGGTCTTCGGTCAAGGGAAATGGACTCCCACTCCTCTAAAAACCAGCAACACAAAGCCACCTAAGATGATGCAATGCTTCAGCGAGCTTTTCATTGGTTGAAGGTTTCTGGACCCAATAGGTTACAAAATCAGCTTTTAATCAAAAAGACAAAAAAAGTCGTAATTACACAACTTCTGGAGAAACAGACTGCAAGAGAAGTGGAAGATGTAACATTTCGGTCCTCAAATTATAAATTTGTATTATTTTTGTTATAGCTTTATGTCATAAAAGCATCCTTGAAGTTATTTAGATAGATTTTTAACAGCAATAGAAAAAGTTCCTGATTAGGATCTGATTTAGAGGATGGATATGAAAATTATGAGAGTAATTTATTAATTGATGCATCAAAAACTCTCCCAAAGGAGAGCTAAGAGTAGTATAGTTCTGTATAAACGCATCCGTTCAGTCATTATGCATTAATTCTTTACTACATCAGTATTTCCCTTATCAATAAATGTTTTTCTGTCCATATAGAATTGAAAATTATTCTGTCAGCCTTACTTGGATGCAGATTTGGGAGATCATTAAAACAAATGTGGCCTAAAATTGTTCCTGACGGAACACCATTTCAATTTTACGATGACCAAATGTAACATTATCATTTACAACAGACCATTAAAGTTCCCTTAGTCATGATTCATAACATGAAACTAACTTCTCACTGCTAAGAGATTTTAAACCAAAGGACAAATATTTCCTGTGGTTTTCTGATGTGCTTTGAAGCCAAACACCCTTTAATTTAGATGTAAACTTCTCACTTATACAGAACTGTTCGGTTGAGACTGAAATCAGCAGGTGCCCTGGGATGGATGGGGTTGGGATGCTGAGATGCAGCGAAAGGTGAATCAGCTTCCACCTTTGTTTCCCAGTGGCCCTGCTGGCTTTGTTTTGGAGCGGAATGAATTATTAACGGTAGCCGTCTGGTCATGTTTTTCATCAGTGTCCACCACCAAAGGTAAAGATCACTGTGCTGAGAGATCCCCTTTGACTGGTTCTGTTCATAAAGAGTAGAACTGCTTACCTAAAAGTTCTGTGGTTTTTCACACAATCACCTTTTTATTTCTAGTTTTCCTCTCTTCCTTTGTTATCCTATAAAGTACGTTGTTGAATTTCACCAGAATTAACAGTTCATCTAATTACTGTCTTTCTTTGAAAGTACCTCACTGCTGTACTGTTTTCTAAAACATACTATTTGAACTAATGCTGTAGGTTACTTGTTTAATAAAGAAATGTTTTAAATAGATATCAAAAGAATATATTAGCATTTTTCCAATGATTGTGTTTATGCTAACTTGCCACTGACGTCTTATAGATGCAAGGAAAGGTAAACTCGAACTAAATCAGGGAACATGTTGTAGGGAGTTCAGCAAATTAAGTGATTTTGATCTGCTTTTTATTTATTTATTTCACCACTTGTAGCCTGGGTGATTGAGTGGGCAGCACAAGCACATCATTTTGGAGCACCACTCAGATTAATGTAATACTTGCATATTTTTGTAAGCTTCATTGCCTGGCCAGTATAAAAACGGTCAGGTAAACTACTGGAGTAGACAAGCCTGTTATTTTTATTGTTTATTATTTTAATGTTGGCTTTGTGGCTACAATTAGTATTTTAGCTAATTTTGATGAAAAGCTAAGCTTAACACACTGAATGAAATGTTAGTCAATATACTAGTGATACTTCACATGTTGTTGAGAGCATTTTAGCCAACATTACATTTTTAACTAACTTTGACCTAAAACCCAAATGAACAGACTAAATGTTGTAACTCAGCATGGACCTACGTTTTAATAGACCAACATTATTGTGTTAAAAAATATATATATTCGGTATGTTTCAGCTGGCTGTGTTCTGATTTATTAAAATGCACTTTCATTTTGTAATAATTAAAATGTAAATATTCCTGGTTGAGATTTGCTCTCCAGTCTGTAATGCCTTTTTTTTTTCCTCCATCTGGCATGCTGCTTAGCCAATTTGCTGTCACTTGATCCTTTTTATCATCTGTCGGCCAGAGGATGCTCCCAACCGGCCAAACTGCCTGGCAACTGTAACCAAGGGGCAGACATAACTGTGCTAAGGTTTGAGTTAAATGTAGTGTGAATGAAGTAACCTAAAGGATCTAGAGTCATGCTAGAGTCATGCTTGGTTAGATGACTCTAACCTAAATCTTGTGCATTAAATTGAGGATAGTTGAGGTTTGTCGTCTTTCGATATTTTTCACTACTTTATATTTTATGTTCCGTATATTAGAAAAAGTAAATAAAGATTGGAACCTGTTGGGGTGAAATGGAAAAGGGTGGAAAAAAAGGTGGAGTAAAAGGGAGGGAAAAGGGGAGTGGGTGTAAGTTAATAGAAAATCGACTGCAAGAGAGATAAGTGATATGTAAATAGGAAATGTCTCTAAATTTACCCCTGGGGAAAAAAGCCAGTCTGAGAGATGGGATAATGTTTCAGGGAGCCTCAGGTGCAGCCAGGAGGGTAGGAAAGAGAGCGATCAGGGAGGAAGAGGGAGGGTTTTGTTTGCGTGTGTGTGTGTGGAAAGAGAGAGAGAGCGAAACTTGAGTGTGCGGGCTAGAGAGATTGTGTAGGGAGGGAGGGAAGTGTAAGCCAGTCGCAGCATCTCTCCTCACTGCACCAGGGCTGAGGGACTCCTCGTCCCCTCTCTTCCCTCGCTGCAGTTTTAACTCATCTCCATCAATGCAGTCATCCTTTTTTGTTTTGCTTGTTGCTTTGGATATCTGCGTTGCTTTCTCATTCTCCCTATTCCAGGATCCAAGGATTTATTTGTTGAAAAAAATAATCCCAAAACATGGATTGCCTTGTTTGACTGAGGCAAAAGGGGCTTTTTTCAAAAGCCAACGCTAAAAACCGGGACTCCAACTGGGACTTTATTTTTGTTGGTTTGCTGCTACAGTGGATTCCCCACCTTTTGTTGAACTTCCAGGGTCTTGGTCAGAGTGAAAGACGTGGACTTAAAGACAAAGGCTTAGGATCCTGTACAGTTTTTGAGGAGTAGTTAGAAAAACCAAGGTTGCATCAAGCACTTGTGGAGAAGGTATTATCTCAGTAACAAGTTTATGGGATAATTGAAAGGTGCACTGATTGATTTTGAGACCCCTCTCTGCAAGTGTGGCCACAAGGATGTCTGAGGAGTGGAAGTGAGTGGATCTCTGAGTTTGTCAGCTGGCCTCTCCTTACTCCTAGAGTGTCCTTTCACCCATACCCAGGGGATTCTGACATTTAACCTGTCTACCAGATCCTGGATGTTTTTGCATTTTGTTTTGTTTGTGCAACTTGCAGTCCAGTAACTCTGAGAGGCAAGCTCGTACTTTTTGGATTTAAGCCTTTTCTGCGTGACGGAGACATTTTGGCACGCTTTGTTTGACCAAATTCTAGTAATGCCTTATAAACAGATTCTCCCCCCACTGCCGTATGCGCTGAAAGAGCTGTGACATTATCTGCTGTGGACATCCCGCTGTTATTGTAGCATGTGTCTGTGTTTTGATTCGGACAATAGCTAGACATACATGGGCTTCAGAGGCTGACAGAGAACCACCAAAATAGGGAAAGCCTCCTCTATTATTCACCGCAAATTGAAACTTTGAATTAAACTGAAGAGCCAGTCCTTATAAGGCTCTTTAAAATAATCTAAGCTTTTTTCTTTTTGGAAGAAAAAGGAAGCATGCTCTCAGTTTTGTCCCGTAACCTTGCGCGGTTTCCTTCTTCAAGTCTTCTGTGCTCTCTGCCCCTGTGGTGACTACTTAAAATCCCCAGCCTCCTGGTGGCAACTCTCATTAAAATCATGCGATGAGGCCAGAGATCGGGGCTCCAAACCAGCAGGGAACCTCGCCTCTGGGATCGATGCTGGTAGCGGGACTAATGCTACTTCACTTTTGGTTGAATCCTTTTTCCTATTCCACAGACTGCCATCACCAGCCATGCTCAATTTGAAAGAAGAGAGAAACAAGTTGCCATTCTGTTTCAGAGACCATACTGATTTTCCTCCAGTCACCATTCACTTGATTGAGACCCAGCAATGTGAGGGTATGCTGAGCAAAAGCACAGGTGTGCTTGAGAGAATAATACGCTTTTTGAACTGAGGGGTGGTGAAAAACCAGAGGGACACAGGCAGATCTCCAGTTTCAAGTCAGTCTGCTTATGGGTGGCATACAACAAATCTGACTCACCTACACCGAGAAAATGAACCACTCTGAACTGACAACACATTCTACGCTCACTGCCAACAGCAGCGATGGAGACATCTTTTTTGGCTCCAACCACTCCTGTCCTTTGGGATGGGGGTTGAAGGAAGGCGTGGAGGCCTGCATATTGGAGACTGTTGTCATCGTGCTTTTGACGGTTCTCATTATCGTCGGGAACCTGACGGTGATCTTCGTGTTTCACTGTGCCCCTCTGCTGCATCACTACACCACAAGCTACTTCATCCAGACCATGGCCTACGCTGACCTGCTGGTTGGTCTCAGTTGCCTTGTGCCCACCTTGTCTCTGCTACACTACCCAGCTGATGTCCAGGAACCAATTACTTGCCAGGTTTTCAGCTACGTCATCTCTGTTCTGAAGAGCGTCTCAATGGCCTGTTTGGCCTGCATCAGTGTGGATCGTTACCTAGCCATAACTAAACCACTATCATACAACCAACTGGTGACGCCATGTCGACTACGAGGCTGCATCGCCATCATTTGGGTTTACTCCAGTCTGGTTTTCTTGCCCTCCTTCTTTGGTTGGGGTAAGCCAGGATATCACGGGGATATATTTGAATGGTGTGCTCACTCTTGGCCCACCTCGGCCATTTTCACTGGCTTCGTAGTGTGCTTTCTTTACGCACCCGCCGCACTTGTCGTCTGTTTTACCTATTACCATATCTTTCGCATTTGCCAACAACACAACAGGGAGATCAGTGAACGACGGGCCCGGTTCCCCAGCCAGGAAATGGAACCCGGGGAGGGGAATGGCGGTGGGCATCACGGAGGGCACGGACCAGATCGACGCTACGCCATGGTGCTGTTCCGCATCACAAGTGTTTTCTATATGCTTTGGCTTCCTTACATAATCTACTTTCTTCTAGAGAGTTCCCACGTGTTAGATATCCCTGCCCTGTCATTCATCACCACCTGGCTAGCCATTAGCAACAGCTTCTGCAACTGTGTCATCTACAGTCTGTCGAACAGTGTGTTTCGCTTGGGCATGCGCAGACTGTCACAGACTATGTGCTCTTTCAGCCACTGTGGTGCAGACGAAAGGGATTTTGGGGAGCCCAAGCCGAGAAAAAGAGCAAACTCATGCTCCATCTGAGTGATTGCTTTGTTAACGGGGTTAAAATTCTCCTTAAAAAGTTCATTTTCAGTGGAAAATCTGGAAACGCCTTTCTGTTTTGTCAAACAATAATCTTGGCTCGCTCAAAATAAAATGGTGACTGGGGTTTTCAAGGAGACAGATACAGTGTCTAGACTGAGAATATTAATGAGAGGTGGGCTTTCTGTGATGGATTTTATTATACCGCACCACAGAGGCTTACTCAGGCCTTTACATTATGCCAGGCCGAGAACATCCCCAAAAATGAACAATTAAACATCCCATGTCTAATTTTACATTAGTGCTTGCCAAACTTTTATTTATACTTGTCACTTAATCCATGATCATGTTTATTTAAATAAAGTTTAAGGTTCCTCATTAACATCAGACATACTTACAGACACAAACAGTGACCATGAAAACAGCAGCTGAAACATATTAAAGTACATAATCATAACTGTTTTATTTATTCATTTATTTATTTATTGAGGAAAATATCATTTTTCTAGTTATTTAGTTTGTTTTCCTTTGTCCACTGATCTGACTGTTGACATCAGCGCCTTAACAAAGTTATCAATGCATTTGATTTATTTATTTTGTTTATTTTTAATCTGATTATTAGCTAGAAATGGAAAAAAGCTTTTTTCCCCCCAAATGTAAGGACAGTCGACCAGATGTATGTTGTGTTTTTTTGTGTGTTTTTTTAGAGTGATGTGTTGAAGATGGTAGTGGAATTTATTTCGGAGCAGCCAAGTGTGGGGTTTTAGATTAATGTAATCTGATGTAATTTGAAACTTATGTAAGGATAAATCTCATCTGAAATTATATGCCCATTTGTGTAAATGTTCAAGGCTGCAGGAACACGGTCGTGTGTTGTAGACCTGAGCATTGAACAGTACTCTATTATTCTTTTTGTTTTGTTTTGGGGGGTTTTTCTTATTGTTTTACACTGTCTTCTTAATAGTGCTCTTAATCATTGAAAGATGACACAAAGGTTGGTGGAGATGAAAATGAGATAAAACTCGCATCCACGTAATAAAATTAAAGCGTTTTACAATTTTCAATCTGATACTGATAGTTTGCAAAGAAAAAAAATTAAAACTGTAGTTCTTTGCTTTAATTTTAGTTACTTTTTCTATTTTGCCAAAGCCTGGCTGAAAACTATTTCAGCCTCTTAAGTTTATAGACGTAGCATCACAAAATATGAAAAAAGGTTCGAGTGTAAATTATGGGAGGAACCAACACAAAGCTGTGGAAAATGGAGGAACATAAACATGAAACATGGTTTCCATTGTTGCATTCATTTTTATTCAGACTTCCTGAGTTGCCATTTTATAGAGCAACAATTCACTGTAATTAGAGCTGCAAATTTTTTAGAGTTCGTCTAAAAAATTACCAGTGGAGACTCAAGTTCTTCTCCTTTGTCTTTGCAAAATAGCTCAAACTTAGTGAGGTTGGTTCGAGAGTATCTCTGGACATAAATATTCAAGTCTGGTCAGTGTCTCTTCGCTGATTTCAGGTCAGTTCTTGCTGGTCCATTACATACAAAAAGGTTTTGAAAGCTCCTCATTGCAGGTCTGGATGTAACTTAAGTTAACTGACCTTCTCTTAAATCTTTTCCTGCCTGAACTTTATTATATTTATTTGGCTCCATTCATCGAGTCATAAATTGCAAAAAGCTGTCCCTGCTAAAGACATTCATCCCCACAGCATAATGCCACTCCAACAATATGTCATTGTTGATACGTTGTGCAGTCCAAGTTCATCCTTAGTCTCTTCTGACTGTTCTTCCTCATGCCGTTTGCTCTACATGACTGATTGCAAACTTTAAGCAGAATATCTTATGGTGTTTCTTTAATTTCTTATTTCCCATTGTCCATCATGGCCAGATTCTCCACAGATGTCCAACTTGAGCTTGTGGCATTAAACCTCTGAATTTATTTGTATTTATACTCCTACATACTAATTAGGTGCCTTCTCATCCAGTTTGATTAAATCTGTAAGTATTCTGCTTATAAAATGAAAGATAATGTATGCATCATCTTTTATTGATTCTACAACCATTACCTTGTGCTGGTGTATCCCCTAAAAAATACATCGATGGATTTAGGTGTAACATGTTAAAATAGGTAAATGTTCATGGGTATGGAAGATTTTGTAAGGGACAGGATGCAAGCTTCAAATAAAATGAAAAGCAGCATTCAGTTTTCATTCTCATCTGTTGGTTAAGAGCAAAAATATTCCAGTTTCAGCCCTGATCGGCCACTTCCTGATAAAAAATAATTAATGTTTCCAATAGAGCTTCTCTCTATTGAAGTACCATACTCTCACATTAATGTTTGAGCCTTAATATTTTAGGTACTTTTTGGGATTATTTTAGTGTTTAATAAGAAAAGCAACAGAGGACATGTGTCCCTTTAGGGTTGTGTTTTTCCCATTTGCTATTCTTTGCAGCTTGCACTGTGTTTTTCTTGTTTTAAAGATGCTTTCTAACATCGTTGTATGTTAAAAAGAAGATTACATTCATACTTCTTAGGAGTCAGTGTGACTTGGTTTTTAAGACAGGATTTGGTAAATCGTAATGTGGCTGGAAACGTTTGTTTCTTGTAGCTTAATGATCTACCGCCTTCATCTCTGTTTAAAATAATGAAAGGCGAATTCCTGTGAAGCTACAAATTGTTTTTCATTCAGCTTTAATGCACTACACGTTGTTCTGCTTATGTGCCTAAAAATGGTTGTTTTATAGGAAATGGATGTTTAGAAATGATGAACATGAAATGCTGCATTTTTAAAACCACCCTGAACATATTCAACGACCATTGGACTTTCTTTGCCATGACTTTGTGATAACTACAGTGACAACCACTGAAAATATGAGTTGCTTTTCATCTTTGATTTCTCTCTGTCTCATCTGTGGTAGATTTCCCCTTTGTAGCTAAACTGCCTGGTCTATATAAAAATAACAAAGGGAAGGACCAACAAATACTAGCCTCATAATACGCATTTGACTTTATTGGGATGCGTTTTTGGTGTTGCTTTTTAGGTGAAAATTAGGTCAGGAAGAGCAAATGTGCTGATCAGTTCTGTAAAAACTTAATGTGGTAAAAACTCATAGACAGAAAAAGAAAAGTTTCTTTTAAAGTAAACTCATACAGTTCATTTGTTAACAAAATTGACCTTGTTTACTGAAATTGCAGATTATTCTTCATCTGGTATGATTTGTTTTGTTACAGGGAATGTCAAAAATTTCAAAAGATATCCAAAAAGACAAAAAAACAATAAGTTAATGTTTCTGTACGGCACTGAACAAACCACAGTGGTAGCAAGTCAAAAACTGTAACATGTTGTAAACAAATCCTCTTGATTTCATGTGCATTGATAGTAACATTTGCACACGACTATAAATTAGAGGGTGATAGATATTTATTAATAAAGTGGTTTATAAATATTTACACAGTATAATGTATATGGGAATACTATATGTAAAGTGTGTGTAACTTGTTTTTACTCTGCTGTGATCCTCACTTTTCATAGAGAGATAAAGCAAGGTATTTGTGCATCTATTTGTGTTAAAACAACCTCTATAGGCTGCTGCTGTTTTGAGTAGAAGGTGAGTTTGTTAAATTACACAATATATATTTTTTTATTTTGAAACTGTGTCAAAAAGACTATGGTTTTGCTGTTACTGCTGAACCAAATAAAAGTAAAAAAAAAATAGTTGACGTACACTCTCCATGTTGTTGACGTTATTTGTTCTCTTATTTTCAAAAGGAGCAGTTATTGATATCTTTCTCCAAACATCTAAGAACAAGAATAATGTGTTTCTTGTTTTAAATCCAATAATAGATAAACATTTTATTGATTTAGTGACAACCTCTCTTTATGTGATTATTTGGAGTATTCTGCAGAACTGTTTGGACTGAGCAAGTCATTCTCCACACCTCAGCTCCACAGGCTTTGCATTTTACCTACTGAGAGGAAACTGAGGGGATTAACCCCCCAAGAAACAAGCAGCAAATGCCAGAAGCCCTGGTGAAAGCCTGCATATTATTGTGATTGCAGCGGCTCGTCCAGAAAGTAAAGACATTTCAACTGCATATTAATTGTTGATTATTGAATTAAAGTAAAATTCAGTCTATCAGTTGATATTTAATTGTTTTATTTCAAACTTTTTTTTTTATTTCTGAATAATTGTCAGCAGTTCTTCAAATGAGTGAGTAGTTGTGGAGAATTGCAATCTGCATGCAGCTCTTGCCTATGGAGAAGTATTAAATGTGTCATATATCGTATGCATAGAATTTCTGTCCTGGATATCTAGTTCTTAGTAACATGTTGCAAGAAAATGCAACTTGAGATTTAAAATTTCACCTTATTTCCAAATGAATGTTGAGTTTATGTTGCAATGTAGCGTCATCTTGGACATGTATTTCATCCTCCAAACCATCATATCTTCTGTTGATATTTACTTTGTATGAGTTTGCTTTGTTCCTGGTTGTAGATTTGCCTTTGAAATCCTTCAGATGAGCTCCTAAACCTCCAGAATGTAACTGTCTCAGGATTTTGTGAAGAAAGCTTTAAGGGGAGATGGTAAATTGTTCAAAGTAAAGAACTGAAACATCTTGGAAAGGATTTCTTTGAAGTTAGAGAGGAGAGAAAGAGTGGCACAGGTTGGATAGAGATTTGAGAGAATTGGAGCAAAATCAAGAGCTTTATTGTAGAAATAGTTAAAGAAAAAGAAAGCAAGACATCCTGGTAATGATGCTACAAAATGAAGAAATTAATTTCTAATTTCTTTTCCCATTCTTAGAATGTCACAGCATTTCAAGTGGATGGGTTTTTACATAAAAGGACTTTTCTCTTTCACTAAATTTTGACCAATAAAACGCCTTTGGTATAAATTAGGTTATATTCACAGAGCAGATCTTGATTCTCAATTCTGATTTTGATTTTTATTTTATTTTATTTTTGCTGAATGATTCTCCTGAATGATGTGACCGCAGTGAGACTTCTGTGGTTTACGTCCCCAAAGCAACAAACTTACAGAAGAACGCAGACGTAACACAGCAGCGCTCCGTTTACAGAAGTAACAACGAATGCAGTCGTCTACGAATTGATTCTAAAGTTTATTCAGCTCTGGGAGTCAACAGTATCATTGCAAGATCATAACATAAATGGAACTTAAAAAAAGGAAACACAACTGATATTAACTGCCTTTTGTGGAGCATTGACTGCACTTTCAGTAGGGCATGCGTTGCACTGCTGATGATCTTCAGTGACAAATATATTTTACATAAGTTCATAATCATAATTTATTGCCATTGTTTTACTCCAAATTTACCACATCTGCCTTTTTCTGGTGCAAAGTTGTTGTGCATGTGTCACATCGATGACATGAAAGTCGGAGAAAATGTGACATGACGTTCAGAATGCAGACACAAAGTCTTCTTGTCCAACATCAATGTCTGATCTCACAAATGTGCTTCTTGAGAAATAGTAAAAAAAAAAAAAAAAAACTCTTTTCCAGTTCCTGATAGAAAGTAGAAATTGTGACAAAATGACAGGACATTAATCATATCAAGTACAGTGAGAAAATGGTTAAGCCCAAGATTATTCATACCTTGCCGCGTTAGCTTTAAAGTAACCTTTTAATTTTATCAGCATGCTTCTTCTGACTGGAAGTAATATTAATGCTTTGAAGTGACCCAGACAGAGTCCTGCCTTGGTTCTGACTGAGAATCTGTTTCTCCATCCATCCACATTCTTACAGATGTGACTTGACTATCAGGATTCAGCCTGGATGCTCGTTATCATTGTTAATATTAATGTTACTATAGTTTTTTTCAATTGTAAAGAACAATTTCATTTCCAGCTCTTCATAATTCATTCCCTTCAGTCTTAAAGTCAGATATTGGGCACAAGTCAAATGTTAACCCACAGAGATATTAAGACATTTTGAGAATCATGTCAAAAGTTACTTTTTACTGCTCTGCAAAACTACTGTATATAAAACAGATTCTCACCAATAAGCCATTTCTCTGTGTTCAGAGATAAATCTGCGTTTTTATTTTTGTTTGTTTTTATTTTATTTTTTTCCAACAGACAGCTTTGCAGTCACAGTTACCATTCAGCCAACTCAAAATGAGCAGCTCCCAGTCCAAGCCAACTCAGTATTCACAGCCAAGACTATATTAGGAATTCCCTTTCATTTTCACAAATGGCCTGCAATCGACTATGTTTTTCTTTCCCCTTCCATCCTGCCACTTCCCTCCTTCCGTCCCGATTGAGAAAGGACCACCTGACCCTCTGTCGAGGTGGGGGAATCATAATTGGAGAGGAAGCCAGATCCTGTCTCGGATTGCTGATGGCGGAGCCTCGAGGCAGTCACCAAAAGCCTTTGATGGTGTAACGAGGACACACTCATACACCCACTCTTCGACTCACTCATGCATCTTGCATGACTCTTTGAGTATGTGGGCTGCACACTGTGGTTTGATAGCTGACAGGTGTGTCCTTTACAGTCTTTAATAGCTCCAAACAACTTTTATAATAGAAGCTATTAACACTCGATAAGAATTTACTGCTTTTTATTCCACTGGGGGCAATAATTTGTGAACTAAATATCAAATCATCCACTGGCTTGTAAAATGTTTTCTTCAACCTAATCATAGTTCTCAATCATAGACTTTGTAAAATTATTTATTTTAAACTATTTGTGTTAAAGTTTTATGTAGGGGAGCATTCTTATACAAAAGGATTCAAACGGGTTACATAGCTTTTATATTGATAATTTTTCTGAGTTTTCTTTTTTGTTTAAAGTAAATGCCCCACATGCTAATGTGGCAAAGGCTGCTGTCCTCAGATTTCACTTAAATACAAGTGGAGGAAACAAAAAGACAGGTGGCGTCAAGTCAGTGTGCGTCCAGATTGAAATCAGTTTTCTGCTAGAGTATGTAACATTTTGACCTGCTCACCCACAGAGAAGTAGAGCCAAAAAGAGCCGGCATTTTCAAAAATAAGTCGAGAATGACCACATTTTATCAGCATTTTTTTTTCCTGCTAAAACTAACAATAGAAGCTAAGCTTATATAGTGAGTCAGAGGAAGAGATGAAATAAAGGAGAGAAAATTGTGATGAGACATTGTGATTCTGAGAGCCGTGTTTCCACATTGATCTGTTCGGCCTGGAGCAGTTTGATAGATAGCTTGTCTCTAATGGCTCCATGGGTGCAAAGCGCTCAGTGGTCAAAGTTAAACAAGTTTCAACTTCGACCTGAGCACAGCACCAGCTCCAACTCACTGTAGGAGCTGTGCTCCACTTGCTCTTTGCTCAGCAGAGCTAGAACCATTGTTGCACAGCGTACAACTGAATGGGCCTTCAGCATGGAAGCTGCTTTTAAAGAGGTTAGTTGCATCTGACTGTGTCAGTGAGTTTTGGCAGACGGAGCTGCTGTTGGAGCAGAAAGTGACTCCTTCCAGCCGAGAGAGACGGAGGAGTTGGAATCCGCTGAGCAGAAATGGAGGCTGGTTCCATGAAAGTTAAACGGCAGAAACCTTTCTGCTGGAAGTACGGAAACTGAGAGGTGTGCAGATCATCCTTGTGAAAAATCTGGATTTCTATGGATCTTTTCAATAGTCACCTTGCCTAAATTATCTTTTGGCAATAAATATGAGTGTTTTTATTTTTTATTTTTTTTGCCAGAATTACTTTTGACAAAAAACATAACTTAGGCCATTATTCACAGAGCCACCTTGTTGGATATGGAGGATTTTGTTTTTCTTTTGCGTTCTCTCACAATAATGTACCGATCTGTTCATGCGGTATAATTGAATACTGTAAGCCTTTTTTACTTTGACCATCACACTTTCTGCTATAATATGAAGTTCTCGTTGAGTTTTTTCAAGTATGTCAATATCTGGTTATGAAACATCCAAAGTTTTATATCTTTTTCTTTAGGATAGAAATGCACCAGAAACCTAAGATATGAACAAAAACATTTCCTCTTAGTGTTGTCAATCATGCTTGTATCCTCCCTTTTCCCTTCTGTCTGCTACTCTACAGCTTGTTCACCACAATGAAGCTTCTCCACTGTTAGAACATTTAGCAGAGTGTTCACGAGATTGATTGACAGCACTAAAACTTTCCTTCTGGCTCTGATTGGTAATTTTTGTTATTTCAGAAGGCAATAGTAGCACTGAGGCGATCAATCTTTTCACACATTATCTGTCTCATATTCTCACAAAATGGTGACAATTTGAACAAATATGTAAAAACCATATTTTTGTAAAAGTTACAAAATATTCTGCAGCTTTGAGTGAATTCATATCAATTTGATTATTAATTAAACAAATTTGTTTTGTCGGTTGCTTGATCAATGGAAAGGATCAGGACTGGTTTTTGGTAACTCACATGAGAGAAATTGATTTAATGACTTTATTATCTCTTAAGCATAACTTACTGTTTCTCCGCCATTAAGAATGAAATGACAGAATGCTACACATTCACCACTGATTGACTGGTTTAAGTGAATCAAAGTAACACCAAATGACAAATTAAGGCATATATAAGTACCGGTAATATGGGTTTTAATTGTGTATTCAAATTTATAACTTGGTGTTTATTCCCACTTGATCATGAAAGCAGAATTTGATGCTTGGCAGACAGCGTGCAGTGTAGTTAGGAGTCTCAGTAGAGCGCGACAGGGGACTTGACATTATCTTAACAGGAGTCTCTTTTATTTTGTAAATGCCACTTTGCCCCTAATTGCCCTGGTGATTGAACAGATATTGGTTCATTCTCCATTTTTAAACAGAAGCTCATCAAGGAGCAACAAGAACATTTAACTCCTCAAATATTGTATTTTGAAGTGGATTGAACAGGAGAAAAAATATCAGAAATGTTATTATTCAGTGTCCACCAGCTGCTTTCAAGTCAGTACCTTTATTTCACCTTTCGGACTAAATATTGCCTTCGGTGGACGGATGTTCCATCAGAGACCACTTACCTAAAGTAAGAGCTTTCTCTTCCATCTCTTCTAAGTGCTTGACTTTGCCCTGGTTTCAAGTTATGCTCGACGTC